AGCGGCGCTTCGTGCCCGACGAGTGCCCGCGCACCGTGCGCAGCGGCGACTTCGTGCGCTACCACTACGTGGGGACTTTCCCCGACGGCCAGAAGTTCGACTCCAGGTACCGCGCCCTTCGCGCCCGGCGCGGCCCCGCGGGCGCCGCGCTCGCTCTCCCGCGTCCCTCTCTCCGGACGGGCCTTTCCCTCCCGCCGGACCTCCCCCAGCTCCGCCCTGTGGCCCGCGCTCCTCCCCGCCTCCTGCCCGCCCTCGGCCCCGATGCTCCGGGACCCTAATCCCCCCCGGCGGGGTGCGCCTCACGGCCCCCACGCGCCCTATTCCTCCGGCCGACTGGACTCTTAGGTAGGGTGGGGACAGGTCACGCCCTCCCTCGCGTCCCAGCTCACTGACACAGGCACAACCAGTGTAAGATGGCCACTTCTTCAAAACGAGACCCCCTGGAGTGGACGGTGATGGCTGCCTCCCTTTAAGGTTCCTTCCAACTGGTTCCTTGAGTATCTAGTCAGATGATGATGATGGTGATGAAGCTGAGGACAGCAGCCGCAGTTGTTGAACAGTTACAATGTGTAGGTGTGGTTCCAGTGGTTTCCATCTAGTAATGAACTCACTTAATTCTGTGTGTGTCTCGGAGACTCACTCTGTCGCCCAGGCTGGAGTACAGTGTCACGCTCATGGCCACCGCAGCCTCGACCTGCTGGGCTCTGGCGATCCTTCCACTTCAACCTTCCAAGTAACTGGACCTACAGGCGCGCGCTACCACGCCCCGGCTTATTTTTTGATTTATTGTAGAGACGAGGTCTCACCAAGTTGCCCAGGCGGGTCTCGAACCCCTGGGCTCAGGCCGTCCTCTCGCCTTGTCCTCTCAAAGTGCTGGGATTACAGGCTTGAGCCACCGCGCCCGGCCTCATTTAATTCTTATAACTATCTTGTGAGGTAGGTCCTGACATTGCCCTCATTTTATCGGTGAGGTAACTGAAGCCACTGAGACTAAGAAACTTGTTAAAACGGTGGAGTCAGATCAAAACTCACACAATCCAGGTGTGAGTCTGTCCCTGTAACTACCACTGCCCTCCCTTTCGGGCCTTACACCTCCCTTGGGCAACAGGTGGTCCCAGCAGTCACTCGGTTTTGCCCTGGGGCCTGGAACTTGGCCCAGGGTTCTTTCCCCCAGCTCTGCCCCAAGATCACAGCCCCCCTCCCTAGTTTCTCTCCAGTTGAGCTTTGGGGTTAGTAGGCCTCCTTTCCTCCCGTTCCAGGCTACCCTCCTCCCTAAGGCTTTTGTTACAAACCCGGGTCTGTGCCAGCACTTCTCTCAGTGAATCACTACTTTGGGCAAAGAGAGTGACTTGTTGAGCCTCTGCTATGCCCCCAAGGTTGTGCTACGCTCATTCAGGAATACTTTGTAGACGCTTGCCTTTTTTGAAATTCCAGATGATGAGTGAACATGCAAAAGCTGTGTAGCATACTGTGTGACACTAGCAAATGCTTAGAAATGGTTGTTCTTCTTATTATTTTAATTGCTTTTTTTTTTTTTGAGTTGGAGTCTCACTCTGTCGCCCAGACTGGAGTGCAGTGGCCGCTCCCTGCCACCGCAGCCTTGACGCTGGACTCCGACGATCCTTCCGAGTAGCCGGAATTACAGGCATGCACTACCACCCCCTACTGATTTTTTGATTTATTGTGGAGATGAGGTCTCACTGCCCAGGCGGGTCTCAAACCTG